TGGCGCGGGGCGGCGGGAGCTGAGTCCCTGGCCCAGCCGCTTGCCGAAGCTCCTTCTCGGTGGGGTGAAGGCAGCGTGGCATGGGGTGCCTGCGGGGCTCCGTGTGGGTGGCTTTCCCGCTGTGCCTGGTGATGTTCCTGCCCTCTGCCCGCCGGTCTTGTCCTCCCTGCGCTGTCGAGTTTGGTTTTTCTCTACTTAACCCGGGGACTGTCGACAGCAGCTCCTTTATTCAGTGGGCCCACCAAAATAACTTTTGCTGCCATGTGTCTGTGGGCTACCCCTTTCTTGGGGTGGGGTGTTGGGCAGAGCTGGACGAGCTCCAGGGTGCGATGGGCTGTGTGTCTGCCTGTGTCTGTTTCTCTCTGAGATGGGGATCTGCTTCCTGCTCTGAAGGAAATCCCTGAGATATGCCAATTACAGTAATCCACCAGGAGAGCAGAGGGTATAAATGCACTCATACTCCATGCTTTGCACATGATTGTCCACTCGGTCGTGCTTCTTCGTGTGTTGTGAGGGTATACCTAACTAGTTGTCATCACTTCTTAATTATATCATGTGATTGGATTTTTTTAATTTTATTTTATTCTGGGAGGAATCAAGGTTGCAGCTGTTTGGAACCATAGCTCACAGTGGTTCTTTTTGATTTGAGGGTCAAAATTGAAGCCAAGGGGAAGCCTTGTGTGGGAGCTTCTTTCAGAACTCATTTCTGAATGATTGCTATTTTTAACTGTATATATCTACACCTAGATCACTGAGCAGGTTTAGAAGAAGAAAATATGGAGAAGTATATGTATGTTTCCTCCCTACACATAGGATTTTTATATTAAATCTGTGCCAGGCTTCAGTCTTTACGGTTCAGAATAGAGCCCCAGGTCCTCCTTCTGATAGACTTAATCTAGTTTAAATTACTTTGAAATGCCTCTGCTTTATCTTGTAATGTTGACAGATTCTCTGATGTATTAAAGAATAAGGCATGGGTGGTTGTTGAAGCCTTTTTCATCCTACTGTAGTTCTTGAAAGCAAAATGTTGTTGGTATTATCTGGCATTATCCTCCTATTTTATTGGCAGAAAATATTATGTAAAGGAGACTAACACATGCTTTTGCATTTTTCATTTTTATAAGTCTGATCTGGTTTTCATGGCTGACTGTAGAAGTTGGTCCTAAACAGTGTATGGAATTCACGTTTGGACTTTTGGTAGCTGTTAGCTTTTGTATGTGTAAAAAGTCACAACTAGGGGTTATTTCTTTGTTGAAAAACTAGATAGCAATATTCTAGCATGGACAAGGCTTAGCGGTGAAAACCTGACATTGTTTTACATGTAGGAACCAGGACGTGGTGATTGACGAACCTACTTTTTTACATGCAGTGTTTTGAATTTTTTTTTTCTAATTTGGAAATCAGGATATGGAGACGTGCTGATATCATAAAAGGGATGCCTTTAGTAGTTTCTGAATGTGTTGAACAAATTTGTCACTTCTAAACTTCCAATTTATAGTAAGGACTGTTGAAAAAAAACCCGTAATTTAGCCTGTGTGGAGTGTGACGCAACACTGTGTTCACCTTGATGGTAGTAAAAATCATACTGATATAGATGATGAGCAAGTATTCAGTAAGTATTTCTCTTCCACATTTGTGTTGTAAACATATAATCTTGCTTCTTTCCATGGCGATAATTAAATGCTCTCTGAGCTTCTAAACATGCCTGGCATTAGAGGCTTTGTTCTAAATTGGTTAACACCCCTGTTTTTTTGCTGGGTTGGTTTTTTTTTTGCTGATTCAAAAAGGCAAATAGAGAAGGCAGAGTAAAGAGCTAGTCTGGCAACAGAATGTGTTTATGTTTGCTAAGTAATTAAATAGGCAATTGATCAATAAGGAATATCATTAATAGCTGTCTGTATGGTTTTACAGAGAACAGATGTTGTGAAGAAGTCCTGACTTCATTCTCTTAAATGATTTGGTTGATAAAGGTAGTTCATGGGATATAGTAGCACTTACAAAGCAAAGCACTTGGCTCAGTAGTACTTAACATTGTGATGTTAAAATATTCTTTTTTTAAAATAGTGTGAGAGTGGTAGATGGATGAAAGCCAGTCAGCTGGTATCTCAGAGTTGGTTGGGAATTGTCCCCTTGCTAGTGGGGCTGCGGAGATGTCAGAAACCAGCCACCTTCTGTCTGTCATTTGATTTGCAGCCTTGAAAGTTGTATGTAACATAATTAATTTAAAACTTTTGAGGGGCACAAATATTAGTGGAATGGTAGTTAACAGTGGCAGGGCACTTGCATGCTCTTGATAATGTGATAAAGTGAGTCCACTGAAATAACCAAACATTTTTTAGCACACCCTAAACTTGCAGCCCCTTTTGTTCTAGTTAATCATCCGCACCATTAAAAGACTTTATTTTTGCTGTTTGACTCACTGAACAGACCAATGAGGGAAGTGGTAGATTCTTCATGTGTTTGATTAGCCGTCTAGTTGGCTGTTCTTTTCTGTCTTGCTGTTGCTTGATTGCAAACTTCAGTATTTTAACTTTAATTCCTTCTTTTTTATTTTGAAGGGGGCATAGGGTAAGGAAACTTGAATTTGGAGGTGTTTTATTTGTGTATCAAGAGCTTTAGCGGTTATTTATACCAGAAAAGCTCAGTGCCTCTGGTTTCTTTTGAGCTACCTGACCACTGTCTTGATTCTTTAGTTCACAAAGCAGTCTCCTGTCTGTGTTAGTTATGCTTAGGTAATAGTATTTTTGCTGGCATTATTTTCCTTGAGCAGATTTTGCTTTCATGTAATAAATGCCTCTGTACCTTCAATGTAGCTGTTTGCATTTAAACACTAGATGTCACTGTGGCAGTTTGTATAGAAGTATGTACATACATCTATATATATGTGCATGCATATATGTGTGTATGCATTTATAAATTATAATTTTTGAACTGGAAAATATATTTTTCCCAAAATTTGCCACTCCTAAACATCAAAATATTAATTAATCTGACAATAAATTTCCAAGGCTGCCTTTTCCCTTTTACCCAACCTCTTAAATCACTTTAAATCATCACTGAGATGAGCAAGCACTTGCACTGGATACTTTCTAATAAACTCATTATGGTGGTGTATGCCTGCTGGAGGAATTAATTGTAACAGCAAGCAGTACATGGCCCTGAACTTGGATAACATGTACATACGGAGCAAATTAAGCTAGTGATGGATCCTTACTAGAAACAGAATTCCTGACACTATTTTGTTCCTTTTTTTTTTTTTTTTTCTTTTTACCCCTAGATTCTGAATTGAGTTCAGGACTTCCAGAAGACAGCTACTCTTCAGGAGGTGAAGCCCTGGAGGGTGATGATGAAGATGACACGGCAGCCCTTGGCAGTGTGGTTGAAGAAGCAACAAGCTCCAAAGCTGGCCCAAGTGCAGGCTGGGCAGATGCCATGGCAAAAGTGCTCAACAAAAAGATTCCACAAAATAAGTCCACTATCTTGGCCAAGAATAAAAAGCTGGAGAAGGAGAGAGAAAAGGAAAAACAAGAAAGGCTGGAGAAGAGAATGAAGGTGAGAAAAAGATGCAGTATTTTGTTGGGCAATAACAGTCAGATGGGGATACATGCAAGATCCTCTCAGCTGGGATTTGGGAGAGTGCTTTGAGACTGTCTCAGTTTCAGAATCTCTTTCAGAATCCCTTGGCAACAGGACTGTTTCAGTGCGTCATCTTAAGTTGTTTTTGTTGTTGAGAGGGTTGAAAGCAGCTGCTTTAAGCTTAGTTTTCTAATTTGGGATATAGTTCACTTTGTTAGTGTTACAAATTGAAATAGTTCTCTCTCATCAAAAGTGAGAGGGAGAAAGAAGAAAACTGCTTTCATTTAAATTCTGCTGCGACTTCCAAAATCAAAGGCTTCTATGTTGAGATTGCAGTAATCGTTGATGTGGTTGTGAATCATTGTTTGCTCACCTCGATGATTTTCCTGGTAGGAGTTTCCTATTACAGTGTCCATGCCCTAAATTGCTTCTGGTTCTGAAACTGTTACGAAGAAAACAAAACTATGTCGGCAATTAAGTTGTTTGTGTGTCTTAAGTGGAACTTTTAATTCCAGGCTGTGATTGATTTACCTTCAGGCTAAAAATACATTAATAGTTCTAATGTCTCATCTTACCAGTTCTGTTTCAATAGGATAACCAGGTTATCCACCTGACAGTCTGGGGCATGCTGTGGTTAGGCCGTGGCCTGCCTTTTAAATACAGAGAGCTTCAGTACAGCATCTGCTCAGTTATGGTTGTCTTAAGTGGCTGTTCTCATCCAGTAAATACGTGGGAGTACTGCAAAGCAGAGGTGGGCTGCAGGTCCCCAAACTGACTTGTTTACCCTTAGAAAAAATTGAGAACAGTCTGCCTTCAGTTAATTTCTTGCTGATGGAAGCGGGAATAGGACAGTTCTTTTGATAAAAGGCCAAAACATGGTCATAAGCTCACAAATTCTTAGTAGTCTGCATGGAATTATAAAGACAAGGGCTCTGACATTCCATGGAAGACTTCTTGCATAAAACAGACTTAATGCAACATCAGCAGGCCTAGAACACTGTTAAATTATTAAAAGGGGGAAAAAAAAAATTTCACTACCTTACTCCTGAAGCAGAGGCTGGGGAAATACAGTGTTCTGCTATTGTAGCAGAAAAAAAGCTGGTGGTGTTGTGGCCCCTGGTAATGGGAAAGCAGATGAGTTTGCTTTTGAAACAAAGTGCCTCAAAAAAAAAAAAAAGGCAAAAATCAGTGTTGTGCACAAGAGTTGTTCTCCAGTGGGCACTTGGTGCTCTTCCCATTACAGATCTTGCTGTGCATCTCTGTTGGTCACAAAGCTGTAGCGTGATTAATTCAGCGGGGGAACTTGGATTCCGAAGGCTGAAAATGCGACATGCCTGTCTTGATAGACCCAGGATTTTATTATGTGTAAATTTCTCTGTGATCAGCTTGTGAAGTTTTGGAGTTCACAGCTGACTTTGAATAATTTCCTTGTCCTTAGCAGTCAATGTGAAATCATATGAGTTATTCTTTTTTTTCTAGACTCCTTTTGCTTGTCTTGAGCCAGAGGCATCACTCTGGTGCAACTCTTTTCTAGTTTTTTTTACAGAAAAGTGACTTAGATTTGACTGTGGCCCCTGGTGTGTCAGCGTAAGAGACTTGCTTCAGACCTGTTGTCCAGCCCCATATTAGAGCTCCCCTTACCCTCAAACCAAACTGAGCTTTGTTGATTTTTTTTTTTTTTTGCTGCTGCTACATACTCAGAGTATGCTGCATTCTCAAATGCTCCATATTGTTTCACATAACAATATTTATAATGCAGCTCGATAAAAAGCGGGAGTGGGAAATGATGTGCCGAGTGAAGCCAGATGTTGTCAAAGACCGAGACAGAGAAAGAAATCTTCAGAGAATTGCCACGAGGTAAGACTTTTTCTGAATGCTTTCCTTAAATATATGTATGTCGAAAAGAGGAGGAAAAGCAAAAGAAAAGGCCTGCACAGGTAATATGTTTCCAGTCAAATTGAACTCTTAAGAAGTGACTAGCAGGAGCCAAGTGATTTATGTACAAGTCTGCATTGTACAGTATCAAGCTCAACAAAAGATTTCAGAAGCTTTATGAATGAGTAAAAATTGAGATGGGAATGTAATGTTTGCTTAACAGAAGTGTTTTCTTAGATTCCCGTCATTTTGTTAATTTAATGCTTTAAAAACGCAGAACAATTGTTTCTACTACTCTGATTTTACTTCCTCCTCAGAGGATTCACCAGATCTACGGTTAAGTTCAGTTCGCTGTTCTGCGTTGCGGTACTTTAGTGTCACAGAACTTGTTGAACATCTTGATGTGCTGTCTGTATCTGTCTCCTTACTCATTCCTCTGCCTTGTCACCCTATTTCAGCTGCTCTTCCCTGAAGAATTTAATAACTGATTGTAGGACTAGTAACATGCTTCTGGGGGTGAAACATGCTCTTGCACTGATCTTAGTGCCATGTTACCGTGCCTACTTTGGGGTCTGAATAGTTATTTGTGGATTTGTTTCTTACTGGTTCCTAGCAGTAAGTGTGAAGGAAGAGTGAAAATTGAAAATCTCTTACATTGTAGCAAATGTTACTTCTTAACTGAATTGAGGTTCTGAGTAACCATTTTGGGGAGCTGGAAGCCATCCAGCATCTGCACTGGTAAGTTGCTTTGGTATGGTGTTCATTTCTGTAAAGGGAGCTTGAGTTAAAACCTTTGTTTTGTTGGTTTTTTTCCCCATCCCAGAGGTGTTGTACAATTATTTAATGCTGTCAGGACTCACCAAAAGAACGTTGATGAGAAGGTGAAGAAAGCTGGGAGCTCTGACAGGCAGCGTGCTAAACTGCTGTCATCTGTTTCAAAGAAAGATTTCATCAGTGTTTTAAGAAACATGGATGGTGCTAAAGGAAGCAAGAATCCTACCGGAAAGGCCACAAAAAGTAAACAGGTAGGCTTTGTCTGGGAGAAAAAATGCATACAAGATACCTTCTCATTATAATTACTGTCCATTAATGTGCCTGCTCTTCAGAGCAGCTGTGATCCCAGTGCCTGTGTTTTTTTCAGACTACTTAGGAAGGGAGCAAGTAGCTCTTAGCCTGTTTTGCCTGTCTTTTGAGTATGAAGGTACAAAACACTGGAAGCTCTTATGATATCAAACCTTGTGTACAAATAACTTGTTTTAGCTGTGTGTTTAAAAAAAAAATATGGAAAATTGAATTTTTTCTTGGATTTTGCACCAACCATGGAACAAACTGCTAGATTTTAGTGGGTTGTGACGTTTGGAATTTGGCCAATAGTGGTTATCAGCTCTTTAAAATTGGCAAAGGCATGGGGGCTCTTCATCTTACATGGTGTATTAGTCTGTACTACTTATGCCCAAAAGTGTGGGTATACACTTCAGACTCAGTTCCTCTGGATGATTATGGTATCTGGAACTGAAGGGCTTTGCCATAAAGTGAATACCGTAACAGAAAGAAACTGAGATATGTTAAACGTTGTATGTAGGCTTTTCTTGCCCTAATTCTGTGTGTGTGCTAGGCTGATGTGGCTTTATTACTGTTATGATATTTTGGAAAGAAGTATTTTAACACACTCCCCTTTTTCCAAACATGCTCAAGAGAGACACAGTGTAGTTGGACTCGTCCAACTCTTTATCAGTTCTTTCAACTCACCAAGTAGCTCAGGGTTGAAAACAAGTTGCTCAGACGTACTCTTTCTCGTGTTTCAGAAGCTTCACTTTTTTGAAGTGTATTTGTGTTCAGGTTTGAACTTTGTGCTTGGTAGTGGGTGGAATACTTCTGTTGGCCAAGACTCACAGCAGTTAATGAAGTGCTTTTCTGTGCCAGGAAGAAATACTTTAATCAGTTGGGAGACAACAGTTTGTCATATGTTTTTTGTTTGTGTGCACTTGGGGAGCATGCTGAAACACTGCCTGGCATGAAGAACTCATACAATTTTCATGCAAGTGTAATATTAAAGTATTTTTTAAATTCTTTGGATAATTGAGAACAATTTAGCTTGGTGCTGACACTTTATTTCTCCTTAAATAATTCCAGCTTTCTTGTTTGGGTGGGAGGGGGCATGCGTGTGTGTGGTTCGTGGTGTGGGATTTTTTTTTTTCTTTTTCCCTCCTCTGGAATAGCAGAAGAACATCAGTGTGATAGCAGTGCCAACTACTATTGTAATAGGCATTGAATCAATACTGAGCAAAAACTAGGACCTTTTTTTCTGTGTGTCAGATTGTAGCAGGGCAATTTTCTAATTACTAGGTCAGAAAACATAGATTGCAAATGTTTCTATACTGTAAAAAAAAGTCTTATTTTGGCAGCATCAGTAACAGCATATTTCCATTAAAGTGCTCTGGAGATGCTTTAGATGCTGGCTTGTTAGTGTCGGTTTTCAGTATTGATATAGGTGCTGCTTTCACATTGCCTATGAACAAAAACTTCAGATTTTTGAGTTTTTCATTATATAAGGCTATACTTGTAGGTTTGGGTTTTTGTTTGGGGAGGGTGTTGGGGTTTTTGGTTGTTTTTTTTTTTAATAGCCATGTCTGCCTGGATAGACCACTCCCCTCCCGCTCTCCTTTGTTGAATTTGCTTCAGTGACTCTCCTTTCAGTACTGAGCCAAACTCTTTAATAACTCCTTTTCAAGCTGTTCTTAATCTGCCATATTTTCTCTTGAGAAAGTATCTTACCCATTTAGTAGGGTCCCATCCTTGTAGTTGTTGATCCTTGAAGTTGAGGCCAAAATCTGATCTTTAGTCTTCTCCTCAGAATTACACAAACATGTAGCCAATGAACAGTACTGCTGACTTCCACTGTTGTATCTCTGCTTCTTGGTCTTTGAGGGTTTTTCAGAGGGTAGTAAGCAGGGATGAGGCTTTTGGGTGGTGAATTCCTTGCAGCGGGAGTTTGGTAGGTTGTTTGTGCCATCTGAAAGCGTTTGTTTGTTTGTTTTGTGTGTTTTGTGTTGTGTGGGTTTTTTTGTTGCAACCTGCTTGTTTTTAGCAGTTGAGAGTATGGCGTGTATTTAATTTTTAAAAAAGAGGGGGAAAATACATTTATTTATCTCAATAAAAACAATGGAAGAGATGCCAATCCCAAACTCCAGGCACTCTGCCATCAATTAAAATGCAGTTCAGAACAATAAAAACACCACCCCACCCACATAAAACAAGCAGTCATCAGGAAAAATAGCAGAATAAAGTTTTACCAGTGAAAGCAACCTTTCTTGATGCAAGCCTTGTGCTATGAAAGGAGACCTGACTATGTGAGAATGGGCAAATGCTTTTTCTTACTCTGTGGTGATTTTTGAATGCAAAATTTGCTGCTGTATTTTTTTAAAGTCTGGTGGATTCTTCCAGATGTCACGGGTTGTTGAAGAAACTCGTTATGAAGCTCTGTTGTGGTTGACTATTTAGTCACATATATGTATGTGTGGGAAAAAGAAGTTAAATGCTCTGTAAAGGCCCATCTGTAGTAGAGGGATTTCACAGTAGCACAGCCACTTTAAAAAGTTTGTTCTGTATTTCCATCAGCTTCATGCATTTATGGGAAGGACAGGTAACCTATTCTCTGTGAGAACATTGTTCATAGTCTTGTATAATTTTAGCCATTGGCCTAAATATTACTTGGTGTACACCCACCCAATGTATCTATGAAAGAAAGACTGTTAGACACTGAAATTTTTCCTGTGCCATGTGAAACTGTAGCCCTTCTTGGGATTTGGTGTGCCCAGATGGGAGTAATTACTTTTCTGAGCTGGAGCCAAAAACTTTGCCTTTCATGTTGTTAGCTGTTTATCAAGGTATTTCTTAATCCTTGCTGAGCCAGCTGACTTGTGTAATACTTTTCCCTGTTTTTTTCCAAGGTACTGTAGATGATGCTTGCCTCTGGGCAAGATCATCCAAATTCCCTCCCCTCACCACCTTATCTGAAGCCTTGCAATGTGTGAGAAAAATGTAATAATTTTCTTTTTTTTAAAAAAAATCCAACTTGTTTGTTGTTTGGGTAGGTTTTTTGGAAAGCATTTATTGGGAGATATGAGAGCTTTCAGTCTTGTTCCAACACAATCCTTACAGACCAGATTTTCATTTTAGTATGTGTTGGTTGTATCTTGCAACTTCCCACCTGTAAGATACTGTAAGAAACATTATTAAGCTACAGGTTTAAAAAAGGTGCATATCAGAGATGCTGTCTTTCCAGGCCTAAAGGCTGAAGTCATCTTTATGTCTATAGAAGAAATACAGAAGTAGGTAGTGGCAGTAAAGGATTCCTTGCAGGAATCCTTTGTTTTCTTTAGGTACTTAAGAAATTTCTGGGTGCTCTTAGAATTCTGAGTTAGGGAAGTACCTTTGCTTCCAAGGTTGAGCGATGTTTCTGATCTCCTAGAGTTGCACAGACATGTTGGCTGAGGTAGTGAATTACGTGAGGTCTTGAAATCTTAACTGTAAGAAAACAAAGAAATTCAGAGTTAACGTTCCCGGAGCAGCCTCAACTCTTCTCCCTTCCTGTGTGTCAGTTACAACAGGGTCGTTCGGACCAGAAGCTCTCATCTTGGCTTTTAATTTGTCCTTTTGCTAGTCTCTGTAAAGCATTACTGGATGGTAAAACATTTTCTAGTGACATATAAATAACTGGCATGAAAGTTACAGATATTCTTTGTAACAAGCATAACCTGCACTCACCAACCTTTATTTTTGAATTAGGCCTTTGTAGCATAGTTTTCTGAATCACCTGTGTTTGCTTCAACTTGTAAGTTTTCTTACACCAGATCTGTTGCAGAGCATTTCAGTGGTGGGAGTAAGAGCAGAATTTCCTGGCCTACTTCAGTAACCATGATCCAAATTCTGCAAGGTCATTTTTCTATAAACTGTGCTGACTACATGACTTGGAGGTACAATTTACTTCCTGTGTTGTGATGGCATCTGGGAAAAATTGGTGTATTGGTCTCAAAATAGTGCCTATTCTAAAATAATTTATTGATCGGAAGGAAGATGAGCAGAGAAGAATACAAGTGCTATTTTGTATCAGCTGTTGCTCATATGGGACTTGAAATAAAATATGTTTCCAGAAAACTTCCTTCTGCCTGAAGTGTGTTTTATAAATGCTCCTAGTGTTTGGTAAATAATTTGTAAACACAGTGATTAGAGTCAGGTTTACTATATATTTTTCTTTTGTTCACAAGACTTGTAACATTCATAAATTTTTTGATTTTGAGCAGTAGTTTGAAAATTGTTTAAGGGCAGGAGGAGTACTACACTGCCAACTGACTGATCTTCTTGCTGGAACACAAGAAGGGGCATGGGGGCTTTCATTTTTCAAGTTAAATGGGGATATAACTGTGGTTTCCAACTTAAAAATTAGGTCTGTTTAAAACCTGTGAGAGTGACTGCTGCCTTTTTCTTGCAGCTGCATAAGTACTCGCCTTTGGCATGTTGTTCTGCTTTTTTCCACAGTTTCCACAGTGTAGAAATGGGGACGCAACAAAAAAAAACCCATTACTTTCATCCGTATACCTGCTTGGAGGGACAGTAGTCTGAACAATTGCTTCAACCAGCTGTAGGAAATAGTTTCTGAAGTACGGATGAGGGCATAGATGACTTCTAGAAATTTGGGAAGATGTATCAACACCTCTTTTTAATCTTAAAAGGAAACTTTTTTCCTTAGGTGATAATGACATTGCAGAGTAGCAGAAGTTTATTACTACAGCGGTTGTGTGCTGGTTTTACAGAACTAATTGAAGGAGTAACCAGGCATGCATGTATTCCAGCAGATTTGAGGGGGCAGCCAAGTAGTAATTTAGTTCAGCTGCAGCCACAGTGGATGCGTTCTCCCAATTTTAGTAAATGTCTTTCCATCACATGCACAGAAACTTTTAATTTGGATTCCTTTATAAATTGTGCTTTTGTATCTTTTTCCCAAATGTGTATACATTCTTTTGAA